TTATTCATTATACTTAACTGTCGTTGTCCCGTTATTCATTTTATAGAAATTAAAATCTCATTTGTATCGAACGTTAGTTCCTTACACATATCCAGGAGGAAAAGAACAAAAATAAATAAATAAATAAATAACAAAAAAAGATCATGGAAGAAAGGAAGCGGGTAGAATTGGACACGGGGTTACTGCTACTACATAATATAACACAGCAATTGATTAATAAACCTAATAAAACCACTGAACCCAAAGACACCAGCAAAATATATAATAGAGGAAAAAAAATAGCACATCAATCGTTAGTGGCAAAGATGCTCAAACAATACTATATACTATAATAGAAAAAGAATTTTAGAACAATAAATTTGCAAGTTCAGCATCAGTCATCTCAAAATTTTTATAAAGACGAAAAAAAAAAAAAGCGCTGCTGTTTCAATCATTGAACTAGCTTATAAGAATGAACTTTCACTGAAAGTGCACGAGAAACTCACAATCTATTATTAGCTTTGAGTATCATTCACACAACTTGGTATTTCTCTGTGATCAAATTTGTACTCTGGGAGAACTTGGGAGGAGCTCCACCCCTCAGGGGAATGATGTTGACAACCTGCACCAATAATTCTCTCCAATTAAGTCAATCTGGGGCAATAATTTGACAGGGTAAAGGAATAACCTTTTCTGCACTTAAAAATAGCAAGATCATGGGATTTAAGTAATTAGAAAGTTTAACAGCACAATTTAGGTGACACAAGCATGAGGCACTGGAAGCCTCCACATATATGATCCAGCCACAATATCCCAAGTTTAAAAGACCGATAGCAAATAAAATGCCATATCAAACCTTGAGGTCACTGTATGTACTAGTGGCTAAAAACCGGACAGAAATGGGGAAGAACAGTGATGAGTCTGCTGGAGGCACAACAAACTCCATTGATCCACTGCCAACAAGACAAAAGAAAGAAACACTTATAAACCAATAGCATATTAAAAATATCCAACACATGAAGTTTTGCAGTGTTAAAAAATGGACTAACCTGCGGTTGGAGTTATCGATGAGAAGTATGGACCATTCTAAGATGGAATTTCTGGAGTCAAACCTACAAGACAAACATGAAAGCTTAAATAAAAAAGCACACATATAAACTGATCCAAACTTCAATATTTTATATTACACAACATTATAGTATTTTCGTGATACACCCAATGTTTGTTCATAACATCTTCTAAAGATATATCAAAAGAGTTCAGGATTACACAGCTTCATAGAGTTGAATTCAGTGTATTATATTAATCTCATGGGGCTAAAAAATCAAAATTTTTCTTTCATCTAGAGTAACATCTTGAAATAATAATCATTTACCTCCATTCACCATCAATCTGCCTGACATTTGGTGCCTCCCGAAGAGCTGGAAGAGGTACAGAAATCACCACATTTCGCAAATCAAACATGGCTGAAGCTTCATATTCAATGCTGACATAAGTTTCATTTCCAGAAACCGAAGGCCAGCAGTTGACTGCAACAAACAAAAAATCAAATCAACCATCAAAGTATAAACAGCCATTACATGCCAAGAATAAGTAGCATTAGATTTGAAACCCACTGGTCAATGGCACCATTGACTCATCTGCACTTTGCATTCTCCACTTCAAAAGACCAACACCAGCTGCATCCCCAGCTGCACCAGTGGGGAAAGGCCTATTAGGGTCCTTCAACCCCAGAATGTTCTCACTGGAAAACAATTCCTTGTTCATGTTAGGATGTGTCTTGAAGAGAATGCCAGGATTACCACCAGTTTCAATCTGAAAATAAAGCATGAAAGAAAAATGGTAAATTCAATGCCGTAAAGGCATTAGGAAACGGCATATGGCACTTTAAGGACAATATTATTACTATTATGTGATTGACTGAAATATGAAGAGGAATCAACATGATTACCAAACTGTTACCTGAACTTGGATGAGTGCATCTTCCTGGTTAAGAATTTGAAGTGACAAAGTCCCTTGAACATCAAAGTTACTGATTCCACCATCTCTTTTCAGTGTGACGTTGAGTTTCTCCTCAGCAGCCAGAGTAATAGGATCAGTAGGTGGAGCTGCGGCCACTCTGGACTGGCCTGCCTTTGGCTTCACATCTTCAACTATCAGTTCACCTTCTGCTTTCAGGGATTCCAGAAACTGGTTTGTTTTTTGTGATTTACCAAGCTGCATGCCAAAACCTTTAGGAGGAGCAGTTGCAGATGAAGATTGACGGCCTAATAATATAAGCATGTAGTCAGAAAATGTTCTGAAACACATTTGATATGAAACATGTCCAGAAAAGTGAGAAATAACTTGGAATTAGGGACTTACAGTAAAGCAAGTGTAACTAATTTGTTAAAAACCTTAGAAACAAATCAAAATTCAAGGCATTTGGTGGCATACTAATGTGACCAACCTTTAGACTTGGTAGAGAAGGAATCAACATCAGTGGTCAATCCACCAAACCCAGAACCACTTCCAAAGCCACTTCCACTGCTAGAAATGCTCAATTCACTAAAGCTAGTTTCAATTCTTCCAGAGCCCATTGACATGAACCCTCCTTTATCACCTCTATTCTTATCAATCTGCAGAATACATTAGCAGGAATCAATAGAGTATATAACAGAAGAGATTGATTACTACAAGGGCAAAGAACATTGCAAAACAAATACCTTGCTCTTCTCAATCTCACTAGCTTTACGCTTCATAACGTCCTTAGTTTCATTAATCTTGCTCTGCAATACCAGCTTGTGCAACTTCTCTTCATGACTCTCCATTTCACAGTATTGCTTAACTTGAGCAACAGTCACATTTTCCTTGTGCCCAAGACAGATGACTTCATCAAAAGCAAAGATCAGTTCAAAAGCAGTCTTGCCAATACCCTCCTCGTCTAGAGAGTAAGAATACTCAGGCACCTAGAAAAATATAAGGAATCAGGTCAATGCTCTGTTCTACTTAGCTGAGACAAGGATATACAAAGGCTAAAAATTGAAAATGCCTCAACTAACAGCAAAACTTCGTGAGATACAAATGTGACAATGAATAACAAGCTGAAAACACATATGGTAAAGGAGCAACTATAGATACGAGTCAACTTCCAACAGCTCATGATAGATCAAAGAAATAAAGAACCAAATGTGAAATTCTTACAAAACTTATTATGCTCAAAGTTTTAAAAAGATAGAAAAAAAAAATCAAAGATCAGTAACTCATACCAGCTTGGATAGCAGTCTCAAAGTCTCCAAATCTTCAAGAATGTTGCTCTGTTTGTTTGTCACAAGAAGCAAATAAAGAGCTTCTATTGGTTGATAAACATACCGCACATTCTCAGTCTCAACATATGTGTGTTGCTTTCCTGTGCCCACCAACTTAGGAAAAGCTGCAAGAAGACCTTCAATTCTTATCCGGGTCATGTCCACAAACTGCCTGGAGACAAGCACTGAAATAAGAGCGAAAAAATGTAAGTGAGACAACCAAATTTCATGCTTCAACAATTTAATTATCATGACACAAGACGAACAACTAGAATGAGCAAGCATGAAACTCACCTTTGCCAGACTTGGTTATAATAGAAGCAGCAAGAACAACCTAAATAAAAAAAAATACAAGGTAAGTCAGAAGAAAGGCAATCAAAAAACGACTTCTAGCCATACATGTTACCTTTAATAAGGGAAAAAATACTGAAAGATGCATTACAAGAAAACAGAATAAGAAGCAACAAAACTAATATCCTTTGTGACCATGAAATGCTGGAGAAAACTTAAATAAGCCACAGAAAACACAATCCGAATAACAATGATGACGGTAGTACAGATCAAGTTAATAGAGGGCCATAAAGCAAAAAAACAATGATCATATCATTGCATAAAAGAGAAAATGAACCTTGTAGTGAACTGTTCAGCATTTCTTCGAAACCATTACATTGTTCATTTCATATATATTATTATAAAACAACTTGACAAATAATTTACTCAAAGTCAAAATTCCACTAAGTAGAACGATTGGAAATGAAAATAAAGGATAAGATCCATACCATTTTGATTAATCGAGAAGCAAACTACCGAGAAACTACCAAATTGAAGCTATTGTCAGATAACCTAGTAGACAATTAAAATCAAGTTAGGATAAAAAAACAACTAAAAATTAATAGCAGGGATCAAGATAAAATAAACGAAAAACGGAACGAATTTAAGAAGATACAAAACACCCAACAAATATGAAAACAAAAACAAAAGCAAATCAGAAGATCTAATAAGCCAAGAGATTGGACACGTCAGATCTATAAAGCAACATTCATATAAATGCAAATATCAATAATTCAATTGCAGCGTTTGGAAGCCAATAAAATGAGAGAATTCTACGAAAAAGCAATGAAATTGATACCGGGAGAAACAACAGCACGACTAAATACATCATTTACCATTTTGAAGTGTTCGAAACATAAAAGGCAATGAAATCGGAGGAAACAAAATATAGATCTGGATTTCTCATCCTCTATAATTAACGATTAAGATCAAGGCATTTACAGATCTGACAAGGAGCTTGCCTCGACTCAATTTGCTGTGCGTAGCTTGTTCACTCTGGGAGATCGGTTTGCTCGGTACCAAAAAGAGGTGGGGGTGGGGGGGGAAGGAGGCATTTATCGTTCGCCCGCTCTAACAGCGTTTTGCTAGACCCGACGTATTCTACTTGGACCAAAATTTTCGGATTGTCCAGAACACTCCTGAGGCCCAACTTTATGGGCCTAATACATCATGAACGTGCAAACATGATCCATAGCTATAAATGGGCGAGTCGTACGACTTGTCGAATTAGGTTAAGGTTTTTTTACCCATGGACTGACAAGAAAAATGACTTAATATGGGCTATGGGCTGGACACATGACATGGCCTAATTTTTTTGTTTGATTCATACTCATCATATTTTTAATTTACTTTAAAATTAATTAATAAATAATAAGTAATAACTCTAATATTCTGGAAAAAGACACTACAATATTATAATTTCAAGCCAAAACAAATGTAGTTTCGTCGCGAATGGTAAAATACCAGAAAGACAGCGGCTGTATCATTTCTGATCTCATACATAAGACAGAAAAAGAGGTTGTCTGAAATCTCCAAAGTACCCTCAAATTGTCACCAGATATCGTACCGACTTCCCTTTTTTAACTCTTCGTCTTTCTCTACAACGATCTGAACACTTTCTTCTTGAGCTCCCCCTAAATCTCCAGCCCTTCTTTCGATTCCCTGAAATTCTTGCATTCCCAACTTTTCATTTCCCGATTATAACCCTGAAAACATCATGGATCTGGCCCCGGAAGAGCTGCAGTTCTTGTCCATACCAGATATCCTCAGAGAATCAATTTCAATCCCAAAAAGATCCCCAAAAACCTTCTATCTCATTACCTTAGCTCTCATTTTTCCTCTTTCTTTTGCCATTTTAGCTCACTCGCTTTTCACCCATCCAATCTTAACTCAACTCGAATCCCATCCGTTAGCCGACCCGGCCCAAACCCGTCATGAGTGGACCCTCCTCTTGACCTTTCAGTTCTGTTACCTTATCTTCCTCTTTGCCTTCTCTCTTTTATCAACAGCTGCAGTTGTCTTTACAGTTGCATCTCTCTACACGTCAAAGCCGGTCTCTTTCTCTTCGACGATCTCAGCCATACCCAAGGTTTTTAAGCGCCTTTTTATAACCTTCGCCTGGGTTTCTCTCTTGATGTTTGTCTACAATGCCTTGTTGATTGCTTTCTTGGTCATATTTGTCATTGCCGTTGATACCCGGAATGCCCTTTTATCGTTCTTGGCATTTATGGTAATTTTGGTGCTCTTTTTGGGTGTTCATGTTTACATAACGGCGCTATGGCATTTGGCCAGTGTGGTGTCGGTGCTTGAACCGATTTACGGGCTTGCAGCAATGAAGAAGAGCTATGAGTTGTTGAAAGGGAGGGTGAAGATGGCTTTCATTTTGGTTTTTGGATATTTGGCTATTTGTGCTGTGATTGGGGGTATTTTCGGAAGTGTGGTGGTACATGGAGGAGAAAGTTATGGGGTTTTTGGGAGAATCGTGGTGGGGGGATTTTTGGTTGGAGTTTTGGTGATAGTGAATCTGGTAGGCTTGTTGGTGCAGAGTGTATTTTACTATGTTTGTAAGAGTTACCATCATCAGGGAATCGATAAGATTGCTTTGCATGATCATCTTGGTGGGTATCTTGGGGAGTACGTGCCTCTCAAGAGCAGCATTCAAATGGAGAACTTGGATGCTTGATTCAAGAAAGGAAAAGTTGTATTTTGTGAAATGATGTAGGAAGCAAATATCATTCAAATGGGTATGTGGGATCCTAAACTGTTTAGCGCACTGCTCTTCACATATTTGTTCCTCTTCTCCTTCACCCCTCCCCCCTTCCCTTTTATTCTTTTGCAATAAAAGTTTTACTGTGTAACTGTCTTTCGTTTCCGCTTTATGTTTCCATAACTTTTAAGCATGAGCTGTTAAATGATAAATTTGTATGTTAGACTGAAACGTTACAGTAGCTGAATGATCATACTGTTCTTTCTCTTGTCAGTGTTTATTATGTCACTGAGAAATGAGTTTTAGAGTTGGATTGCTGGAGTTGATCCAAATTCTAGGATTCCCTGAGGATCATGTGATGAGCATTTACTTCCTAATTTCCTTCATTTGTAGTTTGTTTAAGCAAACTGGAAGCTATTGTTGTAGAGGTCCAACAACATAGAGGCATTATGAATTTCCATAGTCATTTGGCATTTTCTAACTTTGACAGCCCTGACCCTTTTGTAATTCAGTTCTGCATGACCTATTTCAACCGTAATTGTTTATCTTGATTGAAATGTATCATTTTCTCTAAGAGAGGTAAACACGAGTTGATTTGGGTTCTAGGCCCTCCTATACGAGGAAGTCCAATATGCCAGAAACAGAGAGAAATATAAACATGTCCAAAAGCTTCATTGTGTAGTTGTGTGCTGTCAGCCATCCTTTGAAAGGAATGATTGGAATTATCATCTTTGATGACTGTTTAAATATTGTAGATCCTACCCAATTCCGTTTTCCACCAAGCAGTTATTCATTCCTTTTCATCTGGTTTCTATTTGCTGTGGCTGGGTAGAATTTGGTTCCTGAATGAATGGTGCAAGTTAGATGTCATTATCATCGTTTTAAACGTTCTACTCCTTTAGAGAGATAGAGATGTGCTTCTGAAAATCTCTTATAAAACTTTGAAGAGAGGAGGTGGAAATCGGAAAACCAGACTAAATCAGGTTGGTATCGGATACATTTTTTCTTTTGTAAGAGGGATCTAACGTTTCCACATCTGTTCACTCGGATTAGTCTTTTTGGTGGTTATATTAAGCCCCAATTAGTATTGTTGTTGAAAACAGTTTGTCTTCAAAAGCTGTTTTTCTCCAATTTCAATATTAAATAATAAAAAAAAAATGGTTTCCAATTTAAAACTATGGTTTTGCAAGTCAAACAAAAAAGTTTCTTGAGAGATGTTTTTAAGGTAAAAAAAAAAAAAGGGTTAGGAATAGAAAATTATTATATTGTCTTATGTTTTTAATATTTTATTATTTTATGCATATCTTTTTAAATATTTCAATTATTCATAATATTTTTCACAATAATATTAAATATTTAAAATTTTTAAATATATTTTTTAGTATAATTTTTAAATGTATTTTTTGAATTTAAATTTTTTTAAAAGTGCAATAATAATGCTAAACTAACTTTAAGCATGTCTTGGCAATCAACTACCAAAAAACGAAAAAAATACTATGTATTTCCAACCATGGTGTTTTCGAAAACTTTAAAGTAGCTTTGCAACAGTCTCCAGTTTCTTGATTTAATAATGGTTAAGAAATTTTAAGAAGATATAAAATAAGAGTTTGAATTCCATCAACCAATCCTTTTTCCTATCCGGTAGATTAAAAAAAATAGAGTAGTTTTGCATTACATTGCAACCGTATTTGATGACAGTGTTTTATATCCAAATAGGAGATGGTTTTCATCTTCTTAATTAGTTTTTATTATTCCTCAAATAGCTTGGTAAAACGATTCTTCAACTTTTATTGAGATGGTATTTTCCCTTTGGAACAATTGATAATTTGAAATGCATTGACAATTTATCCCTTTCACCGATAATATCGTTAATATCTTTAATGAAATTTTTAAATTTAAAAATTTTACTCGTACGTGGAGTATTTAAATTTTATTTGGATTAGTTGATTGTAATACAAATAGGAGATATGCACTCATATTAAAAGTAGTTAGAAAATATATATATTTATAAAGTATTGATGAAGTTTTCAGGCTTCACAAGGATGATAAATGTTTTTTTTTTTTTTGTTATATTAATTTTCTAATTATTTTTAATATATATTCAGGTAATTTTTAATATTTTTTATTAAAAATAACATAATAAAAAAGAATAATCTCTTAAATCTTGTAAAGTTTAAAAATTTTATTGAAATAACCAGTTACATGCCCATAAAAGGGAGGTTTGAGAAGTTTTCTTGTATTATATTATGATCAGTTGAGCTTCTCCAACTAAGTGATCAATCTCGTTTGTACCTTCTTCAAGTGTATATTCATTTTTCCCCTTATATAAAAGACATAATAGAGACTAACCCTGTAACGAAATAGCTGGACATCCTGCAATATAGTATGTCTTAACTTACAAGAATCATACCAAAGGTTTGATCAACCAGACAACCACTATGATTGATTAGTGCTATTATATGATTTTTTTTTTATTCTTTTATGCTGGCATTATTATTCTGTCGATATTAAAAGACTTCTTCACCAGCAAATTCCTCAGCCAGGACATTTCTTTCATTGGTATCTTTCGAAAAAAATCATCTTATACAACAGACCACTTATATTAATGGTCATATCAATCTTTCTTATTCCCCCCTTTTTTGTCATAACAAAAAGGAAGGAAACTAGGAGAGTGAATAAATGCATGGTAAAGGAGGGAGGAAAGTGCATAAAAAGATGTACATATATATTTAAACTAATTTTAACTTATAATGAGCTTCGTAGCTGCTAACAAAGAAACGAGAGCATCGTACAATGAGTAAGCAAAGAAGCACAAATTAGCCTCTCAGAGTGTAAAATTCATCAGCATAACTACCATGAGAAGTTTAGTTGAACTTGGTTCGTTTTTAAGTCTTTATATAAGGTTCAACCTCAGACACAGAAAAATACGAACACATTCTAAAGGAGTTCGACAAGTTGAAAGTTACTAACATGCCATGCAAGCAAGAAACAAAGTAGATAGTAAAAACAAGCAATACTAGTTAATAACAAACGGCAATGCAGAAAGACTGCATGCACCTAATTGTCTCGCACAGTTTTATTCCTTGTACTTAGACCAGCATAGAGCAGATCAGCAAACTTATCCTCGCGATTCAACTGTCATCTTAGTTTCCCTCCTTCTCTCTCGCCACTATTTCACTGCATACGAAAAGAAAGTTTGTCAAACTTCAGGACTATCACTTGCATCCATCCATATAAATCATAATCATACATTTGATGATACTCAAAAGCAGTTCATTGCTACTATAAATGGGCACCCAAGTGAATCAAGTGGTATGTCTTCATGTTTTGCACAAACACTAAGAAGGGCCCTAAGGGGGAGCAAACTGTAGTGAAGGGGAACTGTGGAAAGAAGAGAAGGGATTCCTATCTTTTTCCTGTACGACAGAAGGATCTCTTCCAATGTCATCCTTAGATAGACAAAAAAAGGAATTACATGAGCTACTCGTTTCATAATCTTATACTCAATCCTGTTTTTCTTCTAGTTTCTCTCTAGTTATAGGAAACAACTTACTAATTTGAAAAGAACCAATATAGATACCAACTAGCTAGATTATGCCTAGTTGTCTGTTTGCTATATATCAAAGTAGAATAATTGTTGGTGTAATTAAACTAGCAAGTGATTAATCAAATCATGTTTCAAACAACTTTATTGTAAATATCTTTACTTTGTAACCTTATAATCAGAAAGGCAATATGAATTCGAGGATATTTCTACAAATCATCTCCTACATAAAGTACTACAGTACCCATATAGAAAAGGCAAGCATAATCAGGAATATTGAATTAATTATGAAACCAACCGGAGCATTTCAGTGAGACTTGCAGCGGCATTGAAGTCACCGGATTCCCTAGCTTTCAGTATGCGGAACATGAGAGCCAGTTTAACCTGAGTCCTGGCACTTTGCTGAATTATGAGTCTAGTCTCCCTCTTCAATACCTCACACTCCGATTCAATTGCTTCAAATTTTTGTTTAACTTGTCTTTGCCCTTCCCTAATGATCTTTTGTTCCTCACTTATTTCCTCCATTTCTGACTTCAATCTCTTGAAGCTTTCCTGCATGTCCTTCACTCCTTTCCTTCCCTAATCACAATATCAATATTAGTTGCGAAATTGTAACAAAAAATAAACGAGTAACAGAGAAGATTGTTATTACATGCTTAGCCTTGGATTTGAAACGTTTCTTGCTAAGCGATGCAGCCCCAAGACGACCACGGAACGAGAACGGAGCCATAGCTACACAGATTATGCGTTTCCTCCTTGCGCAAAAAGAAAAAGTTATCAAAAGATTTCCTCCTCCTGCATACGAATTTATTGATGGCCAGATATAGTCGGTTTCGTGCGATAATCGGGCCGCCTGGGGATCCAAAGTCTGCGTTATCGCGCTATTGCCTACCCAAATCGCGCGACATCGATAGATAAAGCACGAGAGTCGTGCGTCCATTAGGTGAATATGCTAAAATGCGCCGCATTCAGATGTGCTTGCCGCCTTGTATAACGCGTGTTTTTAATGTGGTCCGTTGGATTGGTATCTGGTGGCTAAGTTTGATTGGTTTACCAATTGTGAATGGAAAAAAAGGCGGAAAAAATCATTTTATAACTGTTGAATATATAATACAGTATATATAAAAAAAAAGAAGGTTTAAGATTGGAAAGTCAATTTTTTAAATCAAAGTACTAAAAATTAAGAAACCTATTTATATTAAATATTGAAAATTAGCACTTCATTATTACTTCATATTTATATTTATGAAAATTCGAGATTTTAAATTACCATGTACATAATTGGGTTAGCAAATAATTAATACTACAAAACATAGGAAATTGTTAGATTTTACCAAGAATTTTAAATGAAGAAAAATATTGAGTGCTTCGTCTGTTTAACTAGATGGTGCCTGCTTAATATTGAAAAAAAAAAAAAGTTCAACCGCCTCATACGGATGCTTAGCATGAAATTTGAAACGTTTAATGGTGAGCGCTGCATAATGAAGGCGGTGAAGCAAGGTGTTTAATGAACCCAAAGAATCCATCGTCACAGAGAAAAAAGCCTTTCCTCCAAGTTTTTGAAATGTAAGAAACCTACACCAAAGAGAACAAAGAATGCAAGAAACCATGGGCCAATGACTACTGTGGATCTTTATAGACTAGAAATAACTAAAATGCGAGTTTCTAATTAAAAGGTCAATAGTATAGTCAACCACGAATGATCGGCTCGCGCGTTGGCTAGAGTAACATTCGGAAGATCGCACGACATCGAACGATAGGAACAAAAAGTCGCACGAACGCGGTCGAAGTTTTCCTACTTCAAACGTGTCCTTATCTATCTGCCTGTAATGCTTTTTTATTCTATAACCAACAACTTCAGTATCTGAAATTCATTAATAAGTAAACAAAAAGTCGCGCGAGCATCTATCTGTTGAACGTTGATAAGAAGTTTCAGCCATTGGCAATATTCTCGTGAATAACAAGTTTACACATCTCTCTCTCTCTCTCGCTCTCTAATTCATCTGAAGCTTAGTCACCAATCGACCTAACTGGTGTGGCACAGAATGGCGATGCACATAGGAGTATCTCCATCACTCCATTAATTCCAACGACTGCTTTTGCTATCTTTCTCCTTCAGCACAGCCAGATGAGCTCTTGTTTAGGATCAGTTTCTTCAGCTAAACTTCTTCCAGTATAGTTTTCTTCAGTTTTTTTTTTTCCTTAAAAACTAACCTTTTGTTCGGCCTCTGAACACCCCAACTCATCGTATGCCATTAATTCAGATCCTGAACTAAACGCTTTCTTTGTCTTCAACAAACTTGTTGAATCTTTAATTCTCGTCACTTCCATTGAAAGGGTTAAAGTCTGCAAAAAAGATAATAGCTTTATGAAGTCGGTTGCAATGGCGTACAAAAACTGATCATTTTTGTTCCCTATGAGAACAAGTAAATGCTGTTTTATAATTGTGTTTATCAAACTTTGACTCTTAAACAGGCATGAAAATAAGGTATTGAAGCAGATGGAGTAACAGGATTTAATCAAGTAAATATTTAATGATACAAGTTTACAGAGTATTCGCATTACCATTTCACTAGGCATTCAGTTCACTTCCAAGGATATCTTTTATTCAGTTAAAATAGCTTAGGATATTTTTATTCAGTAAAAATTATTTTAGAGTGGATATTTTATAAAATTATAAAAATTTTGTTATTTATACGAATAAATAAGACATATTTTCTTAAAAGAACACTTTGTAATTTTTAATGCAAAAAAAATTATGAAATAAATATAAAATAGTGCATAATGTCAACAAGTTTATTTAATTTGAATTTTTATGCATAAACTAAAAATAAATACTTAATTTTTTATGATTCAAAAACTTATATTTTTAATTATATTTTTTCGACATATTAAAATACAAAAAATTAAAATGAAACAAAAACTTTTAAATATATAAAAATCACAATTATAATTGTTTTAATTGTTTATATGAATACATCGAAAGAATATGTATTGACAAAAACAATGGATTTGATTTAAGGGTATTTATACTATTTAATATATATGAATTTAGATATAAAAATATTTAAACTTAAATGATATTAAATATTGAGTACATTTATTCATAATTAATTAGATTTACGAATACCATAAATGATTAAATGATTAAATTTGTAAATAATTAAATTCATGTAATTTAAATTAATGCAAAAAAATTAATTTAACAACAATCTAAATTTAATTAATAGATATTTATACTGAGGAAGAACTTAAATGAAATTATTTATTTGAAGTTTGTGAAAATTTTTATTAAAAATGATTTAATAAAAATTTGAAATAGATTAATAGAATTCAATGAAAAAATAAATAATATGTAAAAAATCATTATTAAAAATATCATTTATAATTAAATTTGATTAATATTTATTTAACGATAAAATTTTTATTATAATTTTTATTACAAATGTCTATTTAAAAAACATATAAAAACTTTTCTAAAAACTTTGCACACTTAATATATGTTTAGATTCAAATAATTAGAGAAAACTCCTTCGTTGATCACCGTGGATTCCATTTGAATCATGATCTTCAATTTGATGACACTAATTTTAACTGTTGAATCAGAACGGGATTCCAATAAGAAGTTGATTGAAGAAAATTACAAATAAGTATAATGAATCTAAAATAATGAGACTTATTGCCAAACAAAAACATGTTTATTAAATTTTCTTTTTTAAATTATTAAAATAACATACAAAAACTGAATTGAAAGAATATGGCTTTAGATCATTAGTACAAGTAAAAGATAAAATCCTAAAATTTGATTTTGTGTAAGGGTTAGGTCCCAAAAATTTTATTTTAGCCTAAAATTAATATCATTGCCAACACCCCCCCCCCCCCAAAAAAAAAGGCTGATTCAATCTATTCTCATTTCTCATAGTGAATTTGTGTACGAGTATTGATACAAGGGTGAAATGGAAGCAACCACTTCCCTAGAAGAAAAGGAAATGAAGGTTCTTAATTACAAGAATTACTCTACCTAAGTTATAACTATTGGATGAAAAAAAAATTGGAAACGAACTTCCAATTCCGTCCATTATATTTTATAATGCAACTTGTAACCCCCTTTTTTTTTTTTTAGATTTAGCAAATTCTTTTATATAAACTAGAATTTGGCCCCCACTATGCTGGGATTGATATTTTTCATCAATTTTTTTTATTTTTAATATATTTATTATCATTTTAATATAAAATAATGAGAAACTTTAACAAACATAAAACATTATAAATATTAAAAGTTTAAGAAATTAAATATAATATTTAATATGTTATGATTATTGTTTTTTTATTAACTTTTATTGTTATGTTAGAAGTTTTGTGATTTTTTAAAATTATTTTATCAATTGTATAATTTTTTCAATATAATTTTTTTTTTGTGAAAACAAAGAAAAATAAGAACAATACAAAAATTATAATTTTTACTGAAAAATTTTTTATTGTTAAGTATTATACCTCTCAAATAAGAAAAAATATGCAATTGATTAGAAATTATACCTTACAAATAAGGAAAAAAAAAATCGCTTTTTTGAATTTGGATTTGGGTTTTCAGCTTACCTAAATGAGCCCAACATTTAACCCTAAAAGTCATAAATGTACAAATCACCTATTATAAATTTAAAATTTTCAATCTCACATTCTATCTCTATCATGCAACTAACTTGAAATGAATAGTAGATTTAAAAAAGTAATTGAAAATTAATTATTAAGTGACATGTGTGTCTTAATTGGAGCTCAATTGAACAATCTTTCTACTGTTTCATTTGGGGGATTACTTTTGTTTTATTTATAGATATTTATTTGATTTTGTGACATCTTGAAAAAAAACACTCCAAAATAGGGCTTAATTTGATTAAAGGCTTAACTATTTGATTTTTTTTAATTGAGTCCTTAATTAAAAATCATATAATAATTCAAATGTAATGTTTACTAACTTAACCTCACAAAACATAAGTTAATATCCTAAATTAATCCCAAAAACATTAGATAAAATCCTAAATATCCTATTTAGTGTTAATTGAAAATTTTAAACCAACCCTAAAACTATGACTAAATATCCTAATTAATTCAAATTCTTAAGTTAAAAGTCAAATTCATCCATCAAATTATTATTTATGACATGATTTAGGTGATTAAAAATTAACCTTCAATTTCCCTTAAAATAACTTCTTAAGTTAAAAGTCGAATTCATCCATCAAAAAATTATTTGTAACACAACTTAGGTGGTTAAAAATTAAGCTTCATTTTACCATAAGGATAACTTTAATATATTTTATATTTGTTTTATTTTGTGATTTCTTTAAAAAAAACTAACTTAAAAAAAAAGGCTAAATTTGATTAAAGGCCTAACTATTTGATTTTTTAATTGAGACCTTAAGTAAAAATAATATAATAACTCAAATTTAATGTTTACTAACTTAAACTCACAAAATATAAGTTAATATCTTAAATTAATCTCAAAAACATTAGTTAAAATCTTAAATATCCCATTTAGAGTTAGCTGAAAAGTTTAAATCAATCATAAAACTATTACTAAATATCCCAATTAATCCAAATTCTTAAGTTAAAAGTCAAATTCATACACCAAATGATTATTAATGACACAACTTAAAAAGCTAGAAAATTAAGCTTCAATTTCCCTTGAGATAACTTCCATATATTTTAAAGATTGTCTACATAAATGCCAAACAAATAAATGTCAGTCTTCAACAAAGTAAAAAAAAAAAAAAAAAAATTTGAATCATGACTTAATTAATCCCAAAGTTATGAATAAAAATCAAATTTACTCTCAAAAAAATATAAACACTATCAAAATTATCCCTCAAATCAACCTTAATGTCCTATCCCATCTGACTGAAAATTGAGCTGTAAAATCGTTGGGACAGCTTTAATGTAATTTATTAATGGATGGCAAATATATAAAAGTCACAGTTCATAATACTATTAATGCATTATAATCTATAGAAGCTAGCCCCCACACTGCATTATTTGAATTTCAGTATTATTATTTGTTGCAGGCGGCAAGTCTGTCATGCCATGCCACCCCCACTACTCGCATTATTTTGTCGTAGGAACCACCATTTTTGTTATAATTTTTCTCAATCTTAATCGAAGGCTCATTTCTTTTCTCCTACCTTAATTTACGTTACAAGCAATTATTATAGGACCACTTTTTTTGACAATTATATTGCAATTTAATCTTTTTTTTTTTAACTCTCTTTCTTGTTTTCCATTACATGTAGATATCATGTAAATAAGCTTCTATATTCAATACGAATTACATTGTTATGATTATAATAAAATCATCTCTTCTGAAAATTAAAATCAAAGCCATGCAATTTGTTCTTATTAATTTCCTGCATGCGAACACCAGTATCTTCTGCATGCATGCCCTTACTTAATTCTACTAAGCCATGAGGCAAATATATGCAAAAGTAAGATTTTGGAAAAATAAGCATGATTAATTGGATAATTAGGGCACTGCTTGCTAAAACATCATATAAAGACTGATGAATCAAAGTGCACAATGGTTATCAACTTATACTGAATTTGTGGGTTTTATTTCTGATCTTAAACAACTTCTTTAAACCCTAATACAACATATGGCAGAATAATTCAACACAATATTATAAAGAGGCTATATACAAAAATACCAAACCAATTAAAATGGAGTAGAGAGAGCAAACACTATAGAAGACAGGAAGTTCATTTATTTATTTATTTTTGTTCATGATGCATCACTCCTTGCTGTTGCCTTTCTTCCTTCTCCCTAGCAACAATTTGACTGCCAAACAAAGAATGAAAAAACCCATGTCAAGGACAATTTTTTTCAAATTAAATTTGAATTATGATGGTAAATTTGCTCTAAAATTAAAAGTATAATTGTAAATTTATACCAACTGAAATATATTGGTGATAAATTTGAACCATTCACATAAGTAATTACAGTGATAAATTTGAACTTTATCTCATAATAATTTAAGCTTAACCCAAAAAAATCTAAATATTTACTTAATATACATCGAAGCAAACATAGAGTTGTAAAGGTCATATTCCAATCTAGCTTTTCTCTTTTGTTAAAGCAAACATAGCTTTCTAGTTAAATTTGAAATTGTATGCAAAGCGAAGTAGGACAATCACAATGAAGAAACTGAAATTCTAGGGCGATTGGACAATAACTAGAATCAAAATAACTTCAAATTAATTGGCGTAAAAAGAATTTCTTCCTCTTTTTTCTAATTTTAGGTGCATCCAAGCCAATTCTAAACGCATATGGGAATAAATACCTTAATGAAGCATTAGGAACCATAATGGAAGAAAACATTTAAATTAACATACACTATCTTAATAAAAAAAAAGGACCAAAAAATTTTAAATTAACCAACTATATATAAATATATACAAAATTCTTTGATATTTAAAGAAAATATCATTTATGAGCTATATATACTTTTTCGAACAATATATAGCATATCACATGATCCTTGTTTCCTCCGTCAATCCATTCCATAATAAGTTCAGTCCCTTTTCCTTTTATGTTTGCCCTTTTTCTTAGGGCCAGCTGGTTGTTTATCATTTTTTTTAAAAAATTTCCATCAATTCTTTTTTTTTTTTTAAATCTTTGTTGCTCAAATTGAGGAGGAAATTCTTTGTAGAGGCAAGATCATGCGAAGGGAAATGAAAGAAGTTACCTAAGCAACTGTGTAAGATTGGCAGCAGTAGCAAAATCACTATCTTCCCTGGCCTTCAATATCCTGAACATGAGACTTAATTTAACCTGAGTTATAGCACACAGTTGGATCATCATCTTTGTTTCTTTCTTCAGCTGCTCACATTCAGATTCAACTGCTTCATATTTTTCTCGAACTTGTCTCTGCTGTTCTCGAATATTCTTCTGCTCCTCGCTGATTTCCTCCATTTCGGTTTTCATCCTTTTAAACCTTTCTTGCATGATGTTCTTCATCCCATTCTTTTTCTGTCCAACAAATTAATAATCAATTAAACAGTTAATTTTCATGTTAACCAATATGATCAACAATCACTAATAAGAACCCTGAAACCTATTAAGGCATGATAGCACTTTTTTTACATTAAAATAAGAAAAAGAAAGCAACAAAACCAAGAACGCTAAAATGATGAACAAGTTTTATTGGTGCATGTAAACTACATATATATAGCAACAATCCAAATTATATTGAGTTGATCAAGCAAAAATCTTCTTTGTAAGGAAAAAAATTGCAATAAGATAGAGGAAATTGATCATTACAGTTTTTCTTCGCAATTTCAAGCCTTTCTTGGCGATCCCTACGTTGTGAAGACGATTACGCAGAGAGAAGGGAGCCATCTTCAAATTCTTTAGCTCTGAATTATTGAATTGGTATGAGATGATTGCTAAGGATTAAGTTGCTTTATTTATGATCCATATTTGCAAGAGCTTTAGATATATAAAAGCTAGAGACTCGTCTAAAAAAATTCATAAACGTAAGTCATAAATAAAAGTCACGCGATACCTTTCATACAACACGATATAAAAATCGTGCGATATTCTTCCAACAATACAATTATTGCAAGTATCTCTTGCGGTGCTTTTAAATCTTTTTTTTTTTTATTTTTTATGAAATAAAATAATATTTAATAAATTTAAAAAGTAAAACCTTCACAATAAAGGATAAAAAAAAATTTACTCTTATTTTCTTTTAGAGGAAGTTACCCTTACAAAAAGTTATTGTCAAGATAAAGCAACATCGATGGTGCCACTCATTCATTATAATTAATTTGAGTTATTAGACTATTTTATCAACAAAAGAAGTGTCATTCTTTATATAGAAAAGAAAAGAAACCCTTTTCTTTAAACTTCGTAGACAAGATGCTTGCAAGTTTGCTTTGTCGATGGTGCTAAAAAATTGTCAGGAATATTTATCTTTATTGTAGCATCGATACCATATCAACAGAAAATGTTTTAATCTTTTTTTTTTTTTTAATTTTATTAACATTCCACAAGGAATGCAAAAGATAAATTGGCCAGAAAAAACACTACAAAGAGAACACACCAAATAGATAAGGTTCAATTTGGTTAATGCTTTTGTTTTTTACTTTTTATTAAAAAAAAAAAGTGACAAAAAAATAAAAAATGAACCAAACTATAATGTATAAATAATAAAAAGCAAAAGCACCAATCAATGAAACGAAGCTTGAATAAACACAAAAGTTCTTTAAAACACACCAATCTAGTTTCTATTGGCATATATAGATGGGAACACAGACCATTAATGAGCATTAATATTTGGTCCATACAGCTGCAAAAGATAAGGAAAAACAGTTATTTTCATGGGCTTTTCACTGCTAACAAAAGCAAGTTCTTACTAAGACTAAACACATAGCAATTTATGGCCAACCAGAACAGAATGGCTTCAGAGAGCAAAACATCATATTGATTTATCACAACTTGCTCTTTGGTAACCCAGTTGGTGCAACCCTAGACCTTATCTCCTGTCTTCTAGATAGTTGCTTCACAGCATCTTTTGACAGAAAACGGGGTTTGCTCAGCCATTGTCCTCCGTCAACAACCAAAATTGTTCCATTGACAAATTTTCCTTCAAGCATTAAAAACATGCAATGCGATGTGTAAGTAAACAACTGGAAGGGGACATAGACTACTGGGATAACCAGAATATTGATACAAAAAATGAAGAGTTGCTAGCATTTCAAGGTTATGAATTCGTCTTGCATGGTATCCTAAAGGTTTATAGTCTTTTTGCAGGGCACAAATAAATCATATTAATAAAAAGGGGTTTTACACAACATAATGTCAGGTCCAAACAGAATAAACATGATAATAGTAATATTAAAAGAATAAATGACAACAAAGCAAGCACAAGCAGCTAATACTTATGGTACTAGACAAGTTGCTAAAGGCCATTCAGCATAAAACATTCTTGTTAGTCTTCAATTTAACTCTTGCTGAATAATATGACAAAAACCTACAAACAAGCAAATCAAAACAAAATTCTGGAATCTTATGACTACGCATTGGGATACAACCACCTTAGCAACCTGACCTGTATTCAAATTTCATTATCAAATCTTTGGATGCTACACTTTCAAACACTTGATTTATCTTTTTCTTGGAACAGCATGATGATTAGTGCTCCCTTCTCAACCTTGTCCATTCATTACATAACAGACATTGGCAACCAGTGCCATAAACACAAACCATCCATGATACACCTTAGCTCCTCCTTTTCAGAACATTATCATTATTGGACTTTGTAAGCACATTAGAGTACACGAGGCAGAAGTTGGTCAGAATTTTCTTAACTAGCCTATCTTAGGTTCACAAAACCTTCATCAAGTAACCACGACTCTGCCAAACCTTTGTAGCTCCAATTCTATTTTCTTCCAGGCACTTGAATTGAAAGTGTGATTTTAAATCCAAGGAATTTCAAGGAGGTAATTTTAAGTCTTAGTTTATCAACTCTCTACATGAGGAGTTTTATCACCAGGAAAATTCCAACTTACTCCAAAATAACACATTCAACCATCGATTAACCCGTATAACAGAATAATTCTTTTCTTTCCACAAATTCCATAACACACATGATGAAGCCATATTCCATAGATCCAAAACATGTTGCATTTATTAACATCAAAATTAAGTGTCATCCACTGCTCACTGATTACCATGTTATCAATAGCAACAGAGACCCAGGACAGAATAAGATTGTTCCTCCACTAGTACCCCCCTTTAGTATATCCTATAAATCCAAAAATAAGAAATGTCCATACCAATCAGTAGTTAAGAAACTAATTTCGCATCATAGGAGAGGTTATTTCTTGGTGAGGTTTCCTGTGTAATATAAGCTTAGAGCATAAATTGTGGTAATGGAGGTATCGGAAGAGTACCACTGGGATTGATGGCAATGAGATTAGAATGTTCCCCATGGAGTGAGACTTAAATAAACTATCTATCAAGAAACCCATTCCCTCCGATTACTGAATATTAAATCTCTAGCCAGAACTTCCTAAGGTATTGATTATCACTGCATGCATGACTCTTACTTTTCCTTATTTTCATTTGTTCCCCAATGACATCGGAATTCAGATCACCATAATCTCCAAAATTGGTCCTTCTCATCAGTGCCTCCGACGCAGTATTAGCAAATATAAGTATTAGCAATAATCACAAATTGACTTCCAGTATTCACTGAAAGCCAGCTTTCCCCTGTAAAAATCAATTGCATACCAAATACTGGCTCTGTTAAGCTTATAGGTCTAAAAGAGTTTAAACAGAAAGAGACTAAACGTATTTTAAGGCCTCCAAAAATTGCATAAGGAAACAGTTCAGTAAGCAGGTTAAGATAGAGGAATTCTAGCCTGGTATAGTTGAATGATGGTCATATAACTAAAAAAGTAAGACAAAACTAAAAACCTGCATCAGATGCAAGATAAAGAGAGGAATTCTAGCCTGGTGTAGTTGAATGATGGTCATAGAACTAAAAGGTCAGACAAAATTACAAACCTGCATCAGATGCAAGATAAAGAGCTGCCATAGCAATATCCCATTTCTCCCCAAATGTGTACAAAGGTTTCTCTTTAATCTTGCTCATTATCTCCTCAGGTGCAAGTTTAATGAGACCGACAGTGTCATCGATAGCCCCTGGTGCAATCCCGTTGACTCGAATGCCATGATCTGTGCCCCACTCTAATGCCAAGCTTCTGGTAATGCTATCAACAGCTGCCTGGCGGAACAAGAGAAAATGAAAACTGAAACCCAATCAAAAGAATGAAAAGTAAAGATTTAACAAACTTGGCAACCTAGTTCTAGTGACCAGGTCTTAATACCTCAAGTACCCAAAAAAAAAAAAAAAAAACCTTGGCAACAATTTTACTAACCTTGGCAGCAGATGCATGAATTTGGTACCATGTCGCTCCATAATGTATAGCTGCAGTTATGTTTATTATTGTTCCACCATTGGACAGATCCTTCCCAGGTCCCCCTTTCTTAAGATATTTAAGTGCCTCATGGCACATTCTAAAAGTGCCAATAGAATCTATATCAATTACTGCAAAAGCCAAGAAAATGAAATAAAGAATTAATTTACCTCTAAATGCCTTCTCTGGCCAAAGAAAAAAAAAAAGACATAAAATCTGAATACAAGATAAATTTACTTTGATGTTATTTGAACACTGTTGCACACTTCAGTCTTATTTATTCTAGGACTGACTTCAGAAAGTCAGCATCTCCAACACAAGAGGAACCTTAAAATTGCAAATAGATAACAATTTCATATGACAATTAACTCTGGAAACAGTACCTTAAGGTTTTGAATAAAACCAATGGAAAATTTAAGGAAAGAACCTTCAGCAATTATAGATTCATGTACAACCTGTTCGAAAGCCATTGGTAGATAAATCCTCAGCAGGCACAAGGAAATTGCCAGCTGCAGCATTCACAAGGATGTCAAGCCTGCCAAAATGCTTAAAGGTTGATTCCACAGTTCTAGCTACATCATCCTCTTTTCTAACATCTCCCTCAATCCCAACAGCCTGCAATAAGAAAACTTAACTAACCTAAGTCGTAACTCTACGCAATCAAGCACTAAAACTGTAGCCATACAGTGGTCCTTAAGACTATTTAATCATCATAGTAATTAACAACTAGAGAGAAAGAAATTTTCTCTTTTTATTATACATTTTGAGAAAAAAAGTCGGTCAACGTTTTGGAATAAAATTCAATTAGAACACGATCCTTATTTACAGAATTTGCTTTCAACCCATGAAACAATGTTATTTATGAAAAAAGTTTTCCACTCATACTCTTTTATCAATTCCAAAGTTATTGGAGAACCAACTTGACAGAAAAGTTGATGTTCATATGTCAAACAGCAAAAATCCCAGGACAAAAAGTCAGAATAAAGACACTCTAAGAGACTGTAGAGTAGAAACACAAAGGAAGTAAAAGGAAAATTACAGGGATGCCATGGGAATGAAGAGCAGCAACAGCAGAGTCAAGCACATGTTTGCGTCGCCCCATGATGGCAACGGAGGCGCAATGTTTTCCAAGTTGCAATGAAATCTCGTACCCGATTCCTGAGCCTCCTCCTGTCACCAAAGCTACCTTGCCTTTTAATAAATCTGCTTTGAATGGTGACTCCATTTTGACTTTGTTGCCTTTGTTCTGTTTCTTTGGGACTAACTTCCACTCCAACTCTAAACAATGGAACTTCCAAAGTCAAATATATTGAGGATAATGAGATTCAGACATGTAAAAAGACCGTTGTGGGGTGGCATGAGATGAAGACAAGTAAAATGGTTGCACGGGACTGATAGCCTGGCTTTGAAAGCTTGCTACCTGGCCCATAATTATTTGGTTAGTACATTGGGCTGCCCATTTTCAACATACCCAACAAGCCTGGTGGATTGTAGTACTGTATCGTCCCTTACAATTTTCATGCCAAAGATATATCAGATCGCATTAACAACAAATAGTGCATCAATCCTCCCCCATTCCGGATAGCATCAGCTGAGATGATGGAAAACCGGTCACCATAATCACAATCACCTGTTGAATTTGGATGAATTTTGGGTTTTTAAGAACTTTTCAGTGAAGTTTTGAAGATTTCGACGAAGATCACGGTAGCCAGATTCTAGGAAGTTAGGGTCGTTTCTAGGTAGGTTTGTAGTTTTCCATTGAATTTTTCGATACCAGTTTATGGAATTGCCTAAGAATTCTGGTTGGGATCAATTTTTTAAAAAGAAAGCAAAGGTTTTCTAGAGAGAAAGAGAGGAGATAAGAGTATTATGAGGAAAAGAAGAAATTTTTGCTTTTATACTTACATCAAAACAGCAGCATTTTGAAAAAGACTTGACTCGTATGGATCTGCATCTTAACCCATCTGGCAACCCGATTGAATTGCAAGTTTTCCTTTTTCTTTTTATTTTCAATTTTATATTACTTGATTTGATTTGATTTTTTGTTTTATTTTATTTCTTATTTTTTTCCTCCCTTATTATTCTAAATTGAGTGATTAGATTAAATATGAAAAAAAGAAATTTGATAAAATTATTTGTAATGTTTTTATTTATCTTTTTACATGATTATTTATTTATTGCATGATTACGTATTTAATTATATTCTTACATGATATATTGTATTATTACACGATAATATTATTTTTGCATAATTATTATTATTGTGTGATATATTATATTATCTTGCATGATAATTTTTATTTATTTTAATTGATTTTTTTTTCTTTTAAAAGGTTTTTTTTAATGTTTTTCATTCCTATCAAACAATTAAAAAATTTAAATCTTGAATTAAGTCTTATCAAACTATTAGGGGCTTAATAAATTTTATTGCACAAATAATTTTTCAATCCTACCAACATATTAGAGAATATCAAACAATTAGAAGATTTAAATTTTGAATTAAGTCTTACCAAACTATTGGGGGCTTAATAAATTTTATTGGACAAATAATTTTTCAATCCTACCAACATATTAGAGAATAATTTTTTGATAGAAAATCTTATCAATATATTAGAAGATATTTTTGAAAATAAATTATTTTTTAAATTAGATTTTGAATCTTCAATAATAAAATTACTAAAAATATTGCAAATAACAATTCTTATCTAAATTCTTAGATGAGAGTATTTTTTCTAAATTTTACTAACATTTTAGAGAATTTGGATGAAAATTTTTCAATACCAAGGTTCTAATTCTTGTTTTCACAAATAAAAAAATTTTTTAATAAGAAAATCAAATGAATCTGATAACGAAAACTTTTTAAAATGAGACACTAATATTCATAAATACTCTTGATGTAAGAAAATTATTTTAAATTACTATCAAATTATTGGAGTAATATTATGATCAATTTCCAATATGAAATTATTTGATAAATTATAAATATATTTTAAAGCTTGGATAATTTAAAATTAAATTAGTACCAACTTTTGGATAAATATTATGAGAGTACTATAACTTTTTTTATGTATAACTGTACCTTCAAACTTAAATCTGATTTAATAAATTAAAATTTATTATTTAAATATATTTAAGTTAATCTTGAAAATTTTTTTTAAATAGAACAGATTTAATTTGATGATCAATTGTACTTAAATAAAAAATAATAATAGTGACTCTAAAATTTATTTCAAACCATGAATTTATGAATTTATACGTTATGACAATAATAATAATATTAAAAGAATAAATGACAATAAAGCACGCACAAGTAGCTAATACCTACGGTACTAGACGAGTTACTAAAGGCCATTCAATAGAAAACATTCTTGCTGGTCTTCAATTTAACTCTTGCGGAATAACATGACAAAAACCTATACACAAGCAAATCAAAACAAAATTATGAAATCTTGGGTCACGTTTGGTGCAATGGATGATAGATAAGATAAGAGAATAATTGTCTTATATTATGTTTAATTTTTATCTAAAAAAAAGATAGAATTACAAAGAAAATTATCATCTTTTTGATATATGATGATTCAATTCTTTCAACGTAAAAAAAAAAAATTATTTTTAATTCATAAGATTAAATTTATATGTTTTATTATACACATAATTTTATTCTAATCCTTGCATACATTAAACATAAAATAAAATGATATTATTTAATCTAATTATTTTCATAATATTATCTTATTTAATCTTATCATAATTTTATTTATCAAACACGACATTCTAACTAAACATTGGGATACAACCATCTTAGCAACCTGACCTGTATTCGAATTTCATTGAAAAACTTTGGATACTACATTTTCAAACGCTTGATTTATCTTTTTCTTGGAAAAGCATGATGATTAGTGCTCCCTTCTTAACCTTTTACTATTCATTACATAACAGACATTGGCAACCCAGTGCCATAACCACAAACCATCCATGATCTTAGGTTCACAAAACATTCATCACGTAACCACGACCCTGCCAAACCTTCAACCATTTATTAACCTCTATAACAGAGTAATTCTTTTCTTTCCACAAATTCCATAACACAAATGATGAAGCCCTATTAACCTCTATTCCAAAACATATTGCACTTACTAACATCAAAATTAAGTGTCATCCACTGATCACTAATTACCATATTATCAATAGCAACGGAGACCCAGGACAGAATAGCATTGTTCCTCCACTAGCTTCCCCCCTTACTATGTCCTACAAATCCAAAAACGAGAAATGTCCATGCCAATCAGTAGTTAAAAAAAGTAATTTCCCATCATAGGAGAGGTTATTTCGTGGTGAGGTTTCCTGTTTAATATAAGCTTAGAGCACAAATTGAAGGAATTGAGGTATCAGAAGAGTACCACTGGCACTGGGATGGATGACAATGAGATTAGAATGTTCCCCATGGAGTGAGACTTAAATAAACTATCCATCAAGAAACCCATTTCCTCCCATGACTGAATACTAAATATTGAACCAGAACTTCCCAGGGCATTTATTATCACTGCATGCATAACTCTTCCTTTTCTTTATTTTCAACTGTTCCCCAATGACATTGGAATTCAGATCCTAGAAGCTCCAAAATTGGTCCTTCTCATCAGTGCCTCCGATACAGTATTAGCAAATATAAATATTAGCAATAATCACAAAAGGACTTCCAGAAGTCACTGAAAACCAGCTTTTCCCTGTAAAAATCAATTGCTTGCCAAATGCTGGTTCTGTTAAGCTTATAGGTCTGAAAGAGTAGAGACAGAGAGAGACTAAAAGTATTTTAAGGCCTCCAAAGATTGCATAAAGAAACAGTTCAGTAAGCAGGTTAAGGTACAGGAATTCTAGCCTGGTGTAGTTGAATGATGGTCGTAGAACTAAAAAATAGACAAAACTACGAAGCTGCGTTAGATGCAAGATAAAGAGCTGCCATAGCAATATCCCATTTCTCCCCAAATGTGTACAAAGGTTTCTCTTTAATCTTGCTCAGTATCTCCTCAGGTGCAAGTTTAATGAGACCGGCTGTGTCGTCAATAGCCCCCGGTGCAATCCAATTGACTCGAATGCCATGATCTGTCCCCCACTTCAATGCCAAGCTTCTGGTAATGCTATCAACAGCTGCCTGGTGGAAACAGAGCAAATGAAAACTGAAACCCAATCAAAAGAATGAAAAGTAAAGATTTAACAAACTTGGCAACCTAGTTCTAGTGATCAGGTCTTAATACTTGACTCGAATGCCATGATCTGTCCCCCACTCCAATGCCAAGCTTCTGGTAATGCTATCAACAGCTGCCTGGTGGAAACAGAGCAAATGAAAACTGAAACCCAATCAAAAGAATAAAAAGTAAAGATTTAACAAACTTGGGAACCTAGTTCTAGTGATCAGGTCTTAATACTTGGCAACCTCTAAGTACCAAAAAAAAACGTGGCAACAATTTTACTAACCTTGGCAGCAGATGCATGAATTTGGTACCATGTCGCTCCACAATGTATAGCTGCAGTTATGTTTATTATTGTTCCACCAGTGGACGGATCCTTCCCAGGCTCCCCTTTCTTAAGATATTTAAGTGCCTCATGGCACATTCTAAAAGTGCCAATAGAATCTTTATCAATTACTGCAAAAGCCAATAAAATGAAATAAAGAATTAATTTACCTCTAAATGCCTTCTCTGGACAAAAACAAAAGAAGAGATAAAATCTGAATACAAGATATAGTTACTTTAATGTTATTTGAACACTGTTGCACACCTCAGTTTTATTTATTCTAGGACTGACGCAAGAAAGTCAGCATCTCCGACACAAGAGGAACCTTAATTACAAATAGACAACAATTTCAGATGACAATTAATTCTGGAAACAGTACCTTAAGGTTTTGAATAAAACAAATGGAAAATTTAAGGAAACACCTTCAGCAATTATAGATTCATGTACAACCTGTTCGAAAGCCATTGGTAGATAAATCCTCAGCAAGCACAAGGAAATTGCCGGCTGCAGCATTCAAAAGGATGTCAAACCTGCCGAAATACTTAAAGGTTGATTCCACAGTTCTAGCTACATCAGACCCTTTTCTAACATCTCCCTCAAGCCCAATAGCCTGCAATAAGAACATTTAACTAACCTAAGTCCAACCTCTACTTAATCAAGCACTAAAACTCTAGCCATGCAATGATCCTCAAGACTATTTAATCATCATAGTAACTAACTATTAGAAAAAAATAAATAAAAAAAGAGAAATAATAAAAAAAAAATTTAGCTTTGAAGAGTGACAAACACTTTCTTAAAGGTAATTATACCTTTTAAAATACAATAAAGTCTCAAACTTTCTAATCAAAAACAGTAAAAATGATCATATTAAAAGACTTATTTATAATAAATAAATAGACATAAACTTCTTTTCAAATGGTTATAACTTTTTATATAATCATGATCTTAATGAATAATAATCTATTTATATTAATAGTTATCATCATTTATCATATGATAATTATTTTTATTCAAGCATAATTATTTAAAATATAAATAAAATTAATACAAAAATTAATTTTATTTATCAATAATTAAAATTTTTTGTCAAATATAGTATGCACCATATTCTAAATTACTAACATTAACAACGGGAGGGAAAGAAAATTTTCTCTTTTTATTATACATTCTAAGAAAAAAATGTTGGTCAACTTTTTGGAATAAAATTCAATTAGAACATGATCCTTATTTACAGAATTTGCTTTCAACATATGAAACAATATTATTTATGGAAAAAGTTTTCCACCAATACTCTTTTATCAGTTCCAAAGATATTGGGAACCCACTTGACAGAAAAGTTGATGTTCATATTTCAAACAGCAAACATCCAAAGACAAAAGGTAATAATAAAGACACACTACGAGACTGTGGAGTAGAAACACAAAGGAAGTTAAAGGAAAATTACAGTGATGCCATGGGAATGAAGAGCAGCAAAAGCAGA